ACAGAACCCGTGCGACTCGATAACATTTGAGGCTATGAGCGCAAAAGTGGCTTAACCCACAATTTTTCATATTCGTACTTATATATAATAATATATACTAGCCGTACTCGCCCGCTTCGTTGGGACATTTAAAATTAACATTATTATTTATTGTCATTATTATTAGGGGGTCCAACACTCATATAAATATTAGCCTATCCATTAAGTACATGTATTTTCTACATGGATACCAAGTTTCAAGTCAATCGGATGCATGGTTCAGTAGTTATAACGGAACATCCGTAAAAACCACTGTAGATTTATATATTATAGTATAGATATTCCATTTTTTTTAAAACTCAATAAATTTTGAGGCAAAACCCTAATCCCTAATTTCGCCCATAGATTACATTTCATTATGACTTTGTAAGCATTGTTTTTGCGCGTATTGTTTTTGCCTACAAAGCAGTGTAAAAGTAAATTCAAACTTAATTATTTCCATACTAGTGAACCGCCCCGGCTTCGCTTGGGAAGTAGCGCACGCGATGTAAAGAATTTTAGGTAATTTTTTACCCATTGGGTTACATTAATCGAGTTTCAGTAAGGATCCCTAATTTTTTTGAAAACATAATAAATATAGCCTATGTCACCGGGGGATAGCGTAGCTTTCCAACAGTGAAAGAATTTTTTCAATCGGTTCAGTAGTTTCGGAGCCTATTCAATACAAACAAACAAACAAATCTTTCCTCTCTATAATATTAGTATAGATATAGACTAAACGTGGTAAACTTCGGCCACTTTTGCGCTGACGGCCTCATTTATATTAAATACAAATACTGAAGGTAAAGTAATTTATGCCACGTTATACGCGTACATTCGCACCGTTTTCAATTAATTATTCAATAAAGGTATCGTGTTGTATGAATTTTACTAGTTCAATTAACACAATACTACAATATCGCGCTAATTGAACTTGTGACAGGTTTCTCTTCGTTACGAATATTTCATTTCGATAATTTCATTGGAATTGTATTTATTATTTTCCTGTAATTTACTTTACTGCAAAATCGAATCGAGGTTAAGAAGTTCTGATTAGCGGTTACTCTTTTGCCAATGAGTTTAATGATATTTACTTTCAGACTACGATAATTTTTTGTAGGGTAGATGTGATGATGTTTTGTGCGATTTGTGTGATGTTTATAGGTCATATACAGGGTGTCCCAAAACTCAACGATGGTGACCTAGCACTGAACCACTGACTTTTGTAACACAGGTTTTCCCAGCATAAAAGTCAGGGAATATTGTTATTGTATACCTCATAAAAAAGCCATGTATATTATTATACTATTGTTAAGAATTCTTGTACGTGTTTGTATTTTAAGAGGCTTGAATAAAATATATTATTATTTATTATTATTATTTGATATCTTTGATCAATGATCATTGGATGATCGGTGGTTCTATCGACTAGAAGACTACAAGAGAGTGAGAATAGTAAGAAAGAGAAGAGTGAAACTCTTCTGTAACACCCTGTATATGCATACCTCGTCCAACACAGCTTTCAATGTAAAGCTCAAAATGTCAAGTCCGTTGAGGTTCATTCAACTCCTATTTCTGAATTCACTGTAACGGCGTTTTATCTGACGCAAAGAAAGCATGACGTAAATAATATATAATGTAAATAGATTCTCTATAAATTTATTTCAGGTTATAGGCACTTCACGATATCGATGCGAATGTACGTAGCCCTTACATTTTATATCCATCAATGATTGGTAGATCTAATAGAGGAAGTTGCGAAACTGCTTTTATGAAATCTATATATTAATACGTGAAGCAAAAACTTTGTATCCCTTTTTACGAAAATTGCGCGGACGGAGGAGTATGAAATTTTACACACTTATAGAGAATATAGAGAAGTGCACAATGCTAATATTTTTTTAAAATAATGTATAAAAGATACATTAAATCAATAAAGAAAGCATTATACACACTACATACCATGTATTTGACGCACACACGCATGCATACTATTTATTGTCAAACTTTTGTTTTTGACGTCTGTTGTCAAATTGAGAATAGATTAAATATTGTATGTCTTTGTTAATATTTTTTAAAGTGTAATCTTGGCGAAATTTGTGATTATAGAAGTATAAATAATAGTAATAATAATAGTGTACAAACTTACAATTCCAATTCATTATAGTCGAATTTCGACTACTGCAGGACCTCTAGTCTATACTAATATATAAATCCACAGTGGTTTTTACGGATGTTCGGTTATAACTACTGAACCATGCATCCGATTAACTTGAAACATGGTATCCATGTAGAAAATACATGTACTTAATGGATAGGCTAATATTTATATGAGTGTTAGACTCCCTAATAACAATGGCAATAAATAATAATGTTAATTTTAAATGCCCAGCGAAGCGGCCGAGTACGGCTAGTATACATATAAAAATAAAATGAGGTTTGCTGTTAGTAAAAGGGTCGTTATGGAAAAGCAGTGTCAAGTATGTTGAAGCGTTATTGTTCACTGACAACATTAAAGATAACGCGATGTAAAAATTATATTTTATCGATCTTTATTTTACTGTACGCAATGGGACACAGACAGAAGGCAGTGTAGTGTAGGGCTTTGATCGTTTAGGATTACGATGCGTTCATAGCTTGCTAACTGATCACCCCAAAAAATTTTTTTTATGGTAGAAACTGTTTTTGTTTATTAATCACTAACAACACTTTGGGGGTGTCAATAATAATAAAAATTTAAAATAAATACAGTAGAATTCATATATAACGACTTCGCTTATAACGACTAACCGCTTTTAACGACGATGATGATTACTCAAGTTAGGTTTCATAGTTAGGTACTGAGAAAGTATAACCGTTTAGTGCGACTCCGTTTTAAGCGACCAACTGCTTATAGCGACCATTAATTATGAATATTATGATGATACGTCCGGTTAAAACGACGCACAATGTTTTGTTTACACAACCTACCAATACCTCGCGCCCCAACTTCACCCCGCCCCCTTTATTGGCGCCTGAATCACAGTTAGTGTTATGATAAGCTCTTAAAGCTCGACAAAATGAGTTTTATGAAGCGAAAGTGTTTTACAATTGAAGAAATAAGTACAATATTACATCGATTAGAAGCTGGTGAATCAAATGCAACCCTCGCAAAGGAGTTTGGCGTATCTCATTCTACAATATCAACAATAAAGAAGAATAAAGATAAGATCGAGCCGCTGTTTAATGCCAATGTTTTATAATGAAAACGTGTAAGGACTTCTACTCATGAGTCGGTGGATAAGGCATTGTTACAGTGGTTCAAGCTTCAGCGCAAACGGGGAATACCCGTGAATGTACCTCTGCTACAAGAGAAAGCAATTTTTCGCTATACAGTTATACATGCAAAATTTTACATGCTCAATGAGCTGGATAAACATAAATGTACTTAAGAAATAATCCTGCCGTTTTGTACGTCATCTGGTTAATACGACATAGTTACGCCGGTCCCTTGATGGTCGTTATATCCGGATTCTACTGTAGTTCTTTTCCCAATTTTACAAAATAGTACATTGTGCACCAAGGGAGAAAAGTAGGATATTTCCTTTCCTTTCCTTCGGTTCGGGTGGCAATTTTACACGCGGGATGAGATGTCCTACTTTTTTCCCGCAGTGCACATACTATTTTTTCTTCTACCAGGCCGAAAGTTCGTGGAGCACTGATATACCAATAAAAAAACAATTTAACTGCTTTTTAATTTTTAAATAAACTACTACTAATTGAATAAGAACTGTCTGATGAACTCATCTTTGTTTAATACGTCACTATTAAATTTTATTGCTTTTTGTTTATTTCATTTTTACACTAAACATAATATTGCAAATTACCCGAGCACAACAATGGCGGAGAATTTTAGGTGCGTGAGAGCAGACGTAGACACTAACGCGCATGCGCACTTGTCAGTACCCAGGGAGAAAAGTTAGACTTTCTTCCCTGTACAGCGGGAGGAAAAGTTAGACTTTCTTCCGTATACAGCGCGAGGAAAACCGAACTTTCGGCGTGGGTAGGAGAAAAAATATATTTCATTACAGAAAGTGTAATGCGTAATGTCTCTTTTGGGGTATAAGTATGTGAAATGCAAATTTATTAATACTGCGTATCTTTAGATTTTTGTTTGTTAAATAATATTCTTGCGTGGCGCGGCTCCTTTCGCATCTTCGAAGAAATAAGGACCGATGATACCGCCAGACAAGCGTCTAGCGTTCCATGGTGAATTGTCACGACTAAATACGTGTTCATTCATGCCAAATTTGACAGCTATCGCTTTACCAAGATGGCCGCTTTGAGCTGTCAAAGTTCGCGCGTCCCTATTGAAAAACCATTTAAATATGTGGGCATCAACACGTAATTGCCGCAGCTAATACGTGATATGGGATGCAAGCGCTGTCTGTGGGCGTTCGATGGGTCAACTATTCACCTATATTCAACTATATACTTATATACGTGCCTATCTAAAAGTTGTATAGCGTGTCTTGAGGAATCATTAAGCCTTGTAATGTAACCGAAATTTTGCGGTATGCAGCGGTTCGGTTCTGCCCCTGGCATTGCTGAAGTCCATGGGCGACGGTAACCACTCACCATCAGGTGGGCCGTGTGCTCGTCTGCCTACAAGGGCAATAACAAAAAAAAGGAATAAACTACTACTGTGCTTCGTTTCTCCGATAATACCCAACGACGCCCACTGAAAGAAGATTAAGCATCATGGACTCGGCACTGCCGACGTTATATCGTTGTCGGTAGCGAACTCTTACAAAAACCTGAAATAATTTGTTCGCATCAGCGAGAGGGACCTAGATTTCCTCGTCCACACCAGGTTAAAGTACTGCGTCTCACCAATATAGGCCTGATCCGCAGTGAAGCAAATTACTTAATAATACCCATTTCCGTTGACATTTCAACAAACTAACCAGATTAATATGTAATCGGTGTGGCATTTGACTTACCTTTCCATCACTCTTCCAGTAGATGAAGAAGCCATATTCGTCGACCTTGAATAAGCAATTTTGTTCAAACTCTGTATTGTCCTTCTCTTCCGTCCATCTGTCGAAGACTGCGCCCTGTGAAGTATGAGAACTTATCAGTTTCAGAAATACGACGCTAATATGCTGGCTAGTGGCGTCGTTAAAATAAGGGTCTGGTGGAACAGCTCTTCTACTGCGCGCTCACGTCTTAAGGTGGATAGTGACATGATGTTATGTTGTTGTTTTTGTTTTTTTTATTGCATAGACTGTTCGTCGATTGACGTATCAATGTAAGCTCTGCATACCATCTACCTGGAGATACGAGGTTGAATTCTTACATAAAATGTGGTATAATTGTCGCAGTGGCGTAAAGGATGAGACGCTCAATATTGAGCGAAGAGGCAGACGAGCTTACAGCCCACCTGATCGTGAGTGGTTATCGGGTAACGTATGTTGTTGTAGAAGATTAGGAAAAGCTAGAATTTCATACCCAATGGATTTACAAGTGCCTATAATCTGTGTAGAAGGGTACCTTTTATAATTTAGTAACTTTTTTTTATGGCCCTTTTAGGCAGACGAGCATACGGCCCACCTGATGGTGAGTGGTTACCGTCGCCCATGGACTTCAGCAATGCCAGGGGCAGAGCCAAGTCGCTGCCTACAAATTGGGCCAAACATTGGGTTGGGTTCTTGAATGAAATATTGATGACATATTAGGCATTTATTGGACACCTTGCTTAGGTGGCGGTAGGCGGACGACTGCCCTCACAGGAGCGTCGCCCGTCATCGCACATACACACACGTTATATTGCAATATGCAACATTGCATATTATCTACACTACAATAACTACATTAGCATGATGAAGCGCATTAACAGATATATAAATCAGCTGACTCCCGTCTGTTAGTGTTAACAAAACCTAAATAAAAATTCTATTTCAATCTACCCCTGGCATTTCCCGAAAATAGCATTAGCACTCGATCAGTGGGTTTTCGTGGCGTGAAGATTAAGTCAAGTGCGTTTCGATCCCAGCGAGCGATCTCATGTTTTGTCCGAGGCTATGTTGCAAGCGAGTTTTGTTGGTGATTCACGAGCGGCAGCGTGTTAAAAACTAAACAGATGCTAAAAATAGGTAGGAGTGATCATGATTCGCCTGATATGAAATAGTTACTAGAGATAATTATGACATCCATCTTGAGATGATGTCGAAGTGTTAACTGTAACAGTGCCTAACAGCTGTCCCTCCCTTTTAAATCAGGTTGCATGGTTTCTTCGCGGCAGAAATAGGGGGGGGGGGGGTGAAATCCAGCCGTGCGTGTTCACTATACGTCTTACCACCATTAATTAAGTAGATTGAGAAATTATCGAAGCTCTGATTTTATTACACGACAAGCGACCCGCCCTCGCTTCGCTTCGGAAACATTAAAACACACATGAAACCAAAAAAATAAAAATAAAAAAAGTAGCCTATGTTCATCAGGGACAATGTCGGCTTCTAATGGAAAAATAATTTTTCAAATCGGTCCAGTAGTTTCGGAGCCTATTCGAAACAAACAAACAAACAAATCTTTCCTCTTTATAATATTAGTATAGATGTAATTATCTTAAACGTTCGTACGCGTTGGCTTTTGAAGTATGCGGTAATATTAAAATTATAGTGTTATTAATACTGTCATGTATTTGTATTTCTTTATTCTTTATTGTACACACAGTTAATATTACAGTAATTGGGTAAGATATAAAAAATGGCGAGCTTAACTCAACAATTGAGTTTTCTACCAGCTAACCGTTCTTAACGAAGGAAAGCTTGAAATGAGTGGGTAGAAGAATACAATCTCAATTTACAATCTAAACAAGAACAATAATAAAAAAAAAAAAAACACTAATACATAATATATTAGACTACAAATCAACGGCGGATCTAGGGTATATTTTCCATCCGGATCCAGGGTATATTTGTATATTTTGATATTGATAACTGTTCTCCAAACGAATTAAAATAATTGAAACGGTGGAAAATTTGGCACGTGCCGCATTTAAACCGCGGTGTTTTCATTAGTACGCATCTTCCACAGTGGTAGACTGTGGTTAAGTAGAAAAGCAGTACAAAAACCTATTTAGCTTATATTTTTAACGGTAAACAAAGTAAAATTACTATAGCGCATCGCGCTATATAGCATCGCAAGAGCATCTGCATCGCAGGGTCCGACTGATGCATGACCATGACCACTCTGTCAAGAGTGTACGACTAGGTAGAAGAAGATATATTGCAATACAAGCTGGACATACAAAGACATCAAAATATAAACATATTATTAAAGCTACGGTAATTTAAAACAGCTACGGTAATTGAAAACAGCGTTTATTACAATTTATCGCTTACAATGAAACCTCTGGCCGAAGCTGGCGGGGTTCGCCTCTTGAATAAACACGGTGTGATTTGATTTAAGACGTCTTTACACACAATTCAGAGACGAATAGTACTCGATGGAAGCCAATAAATAGATTATTAAATTAGGCGTCAAGTATTGTTGTGAGTTAATTTCGAAGTCGTCGTGGCCTAACGGATATGACGTCCGATGCATTCGTGTTGAGCGATGCACCGGTGTTCGAATTTCAGGCGGGTACCAATTTTTCTAATGAAATACGTACTCAACAAATGTTCACGATTGACTTCCACGGTGGTAGGACCTCTTGTGAGTCCGCGCGGGTGGGTACCACCGCCCTGCCTATTTCTGCCGTGAAGCAGTAATGCGTTTCGGTTTGAAGGGTGGGGTAGCCGTTGTAACTAAAACATGAGGCCTTAGAACTTATATCTCAAGGTGGGTGGCGCATTTACGTTGTAGATGTCTATGGGCTCCAGTAACCATTTAACACCAGGTGGGCTGTGAGCTCGTCCACTCATATAAGCAATAAAAAAAAATTGTTGTAATTAAAATATCTACATTCGAGATGTGGTGATTTATACCTATATTTGTTCTATGTCGATGTTCAAATCCCGCAGATAGGTATCGATTTTTCAAGGCACTTAGGACGTTTTTGCTAACGATTTCCAATTTTTTTTTTTTTTTTTATTGCTAGATGGGTAGACGAGCTCACAGCCCACCTGGTGTTAAGTGGCTACTGGAGCCCATACGACGTATATGCGCCACCCACCTTGAGATATAAGTTCTAAGATCTCAGTAGAGTTACAACGGCTACCCCGCCCTTCAGACCGAAACACATTACTGCTACACGGCAGAAATAGGCGGGGTGGTGGTACCTACCCGTGCGGACTGACAAGAGGTCCTACCACCAGTAACGTACCACCAGTGTAAAAATTTAGAATCGTAAAATTTTCCATTTCTAGATCAGTGTAAAAAATGCCGCTACGCTCTTTGTGTACCTTAAGAGCTACCATGCGGTTTGGTTGAAGCCCTTCAATCTCATGCATATTCATGCTTCATGCATATGTTGTGATCACTATGCATACCAAACATCAGGTGAGCCGTGTGAGTACGTTGACCTATCTAATGCAATTAAAAAAGTAATTATCCACTAGAGCCTTCCTCCACCGGAGTGAATATGCTACGTGCTCTTCAAATGTTTAATGATTGCCTTTGTGTAGTATATATTTTATATAGTATTGCATTGAAGTTGGAGGAGGCCTATGTCTATAATAGACAAACAGACAAAAAGTAATAACAATTCTTCCATAGAAATTAAATTATTATTAATACCACTACTTAAAACATTGAAAAAACTAATAAAATGAAATAATAATTGTATATGTAAAAAAAATGTATTTTGTCTGAACAAAGGCTTTATTATTATCTATTAAATTATTATTACATTGAAGTTATGGTATGTGGGTGTCCATAACGCTAGTTTCAAGGGTGCTCCACCTCCCAACGCTCGTAAAAATGTCCGTAGATAAGAGATGACGGATTAAAAAGAGAAAGCAATGGAAACATCCTTACCTGCAACAGCGGCTCGGGGACTGGTATCTGCCAGTTGAATTCAAATTTCTTGGTCATAGTGTTGTATTATCAGCAACGCAACTCCGATCTTAGAGTTCAGTTGCTGGCCATTCTCGCCAGCACCCTGTGAACAACAACCAAATAAGTATGATAATTAAAAGAAGTTTGATGCACGTCATATACGCCATAAATTTGATAGGCAAGTGCATTCCAGCATTCTACCTATTGGATAATGCTGGAGGTCTTATTCTTACTAATTGTCTGACATTAATCAAGAGATATGGATACACTTATATGTCTCTAGGATCTTCGATCTACTACGACCAACTTGTTTTTCCTTACAGTTTTATGCTCATCTTAGAATCAGTAAATACGTGAGTATTGCTAGTCCCCTCTGAGACACTGTAATTAAAGCTATCTAACTCTCTAAGGTCAAGATCGCTTCATTTAAGGTCGAATTAGATGGTCATCTCACTCTAGATATCGCAAGGAGAAAACTGCCACCTTTTTTATTTTATTGCTTAGATAGGTGTACAAGCTCACAGCCCACCTGGTGTTAAGTGGTTACTGGAGCCTATAGACATCTACAACGTAAATGCGCCACCCATCTTGAGATATAAGTTCTAAGGTCTCACTATAGTTACAACGGCTGCCCCACCCTTCAAACCGAAACGCATTACTGCTTCACGGCAGAAATAGGCAGGGTGGTGGTACCCACCCGCGCGAACTCATAAGAGTTCCTACCACCAGTAATTACGCAAATTATAATTTTGCGGGTTTGATTTTGATTACACGATGTTATTCCTTCACCGTGGAAGTCAATAGTGAACATTTGTTGAGTACATATTTCATTAGAAAAATTGGTACCCGCCTGGGATCCTCTTGCGAGTCCGCACGGGTAGGCACCACCACCCCGCTTATTTCTGCCATGAAGCAGTAATGCGTTTCGGTTTGAAGGGTGGGGCAGTCGTTGTACTGCTAAAAGTGTGGGACCTTAGAACTTATATCTCAAGGTGGGTGGCGCATTTAGGTTTTGATGTCTCTGGGCTCTAGTAACCACTTAACAACAGGTGGGCTATGAGCTCGTCCAAGCAATCTAAGCAAAAAAAAACCCTATAAGTCGGAATGAATAGCTTTTTTACGGCAGAATAGGAGGTATAATGGCAGTTCCTCGTGTAGGCTCAGAGTGCGTCCTTCACCAGCAAAAAAAAAGTTTCTGCATTTGTATATTAAGNTTTAGGTTTTGATGTCTCTGGGCTCTAGTAACCACTTAACAACAGGTGGGCTATGAGCTCGTCCAAGCAATCTAAGCAAAAAAAAACCCTATAAGTCGGAATGAATAGCTTTTTTACGGCAGAATAGGAGGTATAATGGCAGTTCCTCGTGTAGGCTCAGAGTGCGTCCTTCACCAGCAAAAAAAAAGTTTCTGCATTTGTATATTAAGCTTGTTCGCTTTTACGAACGACCGACAGTGATTAGTCGGTATTTAAAACGGCTTTATTATCTTGGTATGTGTGTTTCTCTGTATACAGTGGAATCTTTGAAAATTATTTACACTGGCTTCAAGACCTCTGAATAAATCGAAAAAATTGGGCACGCATCATTTATGTCAACACAAAAATTTTGTAACTTTGCTCTATTATCTTGACCAGTATCAATATGATAAAGAATATGAAGTTAAATTTTTTCTTACATCTTACATCTGATATTGTTAAGTTGGCTGTAAGTCTTTAGAGTCTATTGCCAGTTCTAATGCGATACTAAAATCACAAAATCCGAAAATAAATTACTCGGTTCTGCCTTTACTCTGACGACAGACCTATTAAATTTCTGTTATACTGTTACATTTAGCCGGTCTCAAGCCATCCGTTTCCTAGGAGTATATTAAGTTTCAGTCCTGTGAACCGAGGTCAATGCACCGCCCCCCCCCCCCCCCCCCCGTGCTATACAAACAATATCGTTCGTAGCGAATTGGCGACAAGAGCTCTTTATTGGAATTTGGAATTTGTTGGTTGCAATTTAAGACTCAGATTTACGAAGTACCTACTTGTTAAAGAAAATTGCTTTCACTGTAATTCTATAGGTTGATTGCGACAATATTATTAGATTTCAACGGTTAGATTTGGTGATAATTAGTAATTTATGTTCACTTTATTGAGAATCGCGACAGCGTAATAAGGAAAGTTTAGTAACAATATAAAAAAACAAAATAGTCGCATGCCAAAAAGGAATGTAGTATGCTAAATTCAAAGGAAATACAGGAAATCCGACACTCAAAAATCAGAGAAACTACCAAAACAACTGGTGTATTAGTTAAAACCTTAACTTTGAAGTCGTCGTAGCCTAAAGGATATGTCGGCCGGTGCATTCGTATCTTGCGATGCAACGGCATTCGAATCCCGCGAGCGGGTACCAATTTTTGTAATGAAATATGTACTTAACCAATTTTCACGATTGACTTCCACGGTGAAGGAATAACATCGTGTAATAAAAATTAAACCCGCAAAATTATAATTTGTAACCTCTTGTGAGTCCGCACGGGTAGATACCACTACTCTGCCTATTTTCTGCCGTGAGCAGCAATGCGTTTCGGTTTGAAGGGTGGGGCAGCCGTTGTAACTATACTGAGACCTTAGAATTTATATATCAAGGTGGGTGGCGCATATACATTGTAGATGTCTATGGGCTCCAGTAACCAGCTAACACCAGGTGGGCTGTGAGCTCGTCGACCCATCTAAGCAAGCAATAAAAAAATATAATCCAACAAACATATTTGTTGGTTAGGTAATGTTATTATGACATCAAAACACTACACGTGTCGAGAAATTTCAATGCATAGCTTTCATAATATAGTTCTGAAAATCTTTGTCCTAGTAATATGCAACAAACAATGTCTTCATAAAAGTTTCGACATTATCGAGAGCTTCAGTTAAAAGTTTCGCAACTCTGCTGTGGAACTTTTCACTTAAAGTTCAAAGCGTTCTTCACTCGGATTCAAGAAATAAGTTTTTCTTACGGATCGAAGGCGTCTGACAAAACCAGCGTTAATATAATGACGAAGGTTCTCTTATTAATGTTTTATTTTTTTCTTAGACGGATGAAATAGTTAATGAGCACATCGGGTGTTAAGTTTTGGAGCCCTTAGACGTCAACAACATAAACATAACAAGAACGACCTGTTGTTTATTTTTTGGGCAGGGCGCCGAGACTGGTAGTCGATGATCAAAACGCCAGTTTTTGCAGTAGGATGATGCCGAAGGAGTCCCGGGACACTCCGCTGAACCAGAACTAGCTAGGTCGGAAGGCGATACAGCGCCGACCAGGTTGCTCTCCCACAGAACAACAACAAAACCAACCTTGAGATACGAGTTCTAAGTCACAATTCTTACAACCGAGTTCTCTGAGGAATTGTTTGAGATGATCCTATCATCTCATTTTACCATCGCGCCACCCGCACCGGAGTAAAGTTCATCAATACTACTGGGAGCCTGTGCGTTTATTCACAGTGCGTTACCAGAGATCTTTTTTGCCACGTACCATCCGGTTTTGGAATAAGGTCCCCTCTACGGTGTTTCCCGAGCGCTATGAGATGTCCTTCTTCAAACGAGGATGTGGAGAGTACTTAACGGTATGCAGCGGCTTGACTCTGCCCCTGGCATTGCTGAATTTTATGGACGACGGTAACCACTCACCATCAGGTGGGCCCAACGCTCGCCTGGCTACTAGGGCAATAAAACAAAAGAACTACCGTTCACACCTGAACGCATTACTGCTTCGCTTCAGAAATAGGCAGGGTGATAAGCTGATACCTGGTCGATAAGTTGATAAGCTGGTCGTGTAGCTCTATCCATGGCGACCAGTAAATCTATACTAATATTATAAAGAGGAAAGATTTGTTTGTTTGTTTGTTTCGAATAGGCTCCGAAACTACTGGACCAATTTGAAAAATTATTTTTCCATTAGAAGCCGACATTGTCCCTGATGAACATAGGATACTTTTTTTTATTTTATTTTTATATTTTTTTTTGTTTCATGTGTGTTTTAATGTTTCCGAAGCGAAGCGAGGGCGGGTCGCTAGTATGCTATATAAAGTAGCTAGCAATGTATCGGTATCGATCCATTACTGCTTCGTTACTCCTATTAGCACCGAAGTACGGTAATTGTGTGTCTACTAAATTAGTCTGGACACTCCCGTTTAGCAAATCATTCTATTAACTTGAGATTGAGGAAATTGCGTTACACAGTTCATATATTCGCAATAGTACAACGGTCAGTAGTCCTAATTTAACTTGTCTGCTTAGCTCATTACTGCCGGTTAGAAGTGTCCGCGACTGATGGGTGAGACCACGATCTGTTCACATCCAGTGCTAAATTGGCCGGCGTTCAAATTAATTGTACCGCTTTTTATCCAAACAAAGTGAGTAAGTTTTTTTCTAGACAACGTAATTGCGCCACCCACCTTGAGATATAAGTTCTAAGGTCTCAGTATAGTTACAACGGCTGCCCCACCCTTCAAACCGAAACGCATTACAGCTTCACGGCAGAAATAGGCAAGTCGGTGGTACCTACCCGTGCGGACTCACAAGAGGTCCTACCACCAGTAAGTAATACGGGTTCGCGAACGGCTAAACTGGGTAATGGTAATCTTGTGGTGGTGGTATGTACCAACCGCCAGCTTATTTTCGACGCGAAGCAGCTATGCGATTTATTGAGATTGGTGGCGAAGCCGTTGTAAAAAATGACTTGAGACATTTAAATTGAATTTCTCTTATTGGATGGTGGCATTCCGGTTGTGATGCCTTTTGTACCGATTTACGAATTTATTAAGTTTGCAACTTGAAATCAATCTCGAAAAACAGTTATTTTAATTTTAATTAAATATTAATATAAGTAGAATTTGACCAATTGTGAGAACTAAATCACGACAAAAAAAAAGTAATTGTACAACAAATAGCTATTACAACAAACATGTCACTTATGTGTATAAAAACAACATATTTTACTTATGTTCGTTTCATATTCATTAACTGAAACGTTGTCACGTAGCGTTTCTCACGTTTGATGTGCACGTGCTATAACCACCGTTTACGACACGTGTTTACGAAAATACATAATATGTACCTA